CAATAGCAGTTTGGGAAGCCTTATGGAGTCTGATTGATATCCTTGCTTCCTCTCATGGGTCTTACAGATGCTAGTAAAAAAAATTAAATTTATTAACAAGGCAATTAAAAGCTGAGAGGAACGTTAAGGGATTCTTGCCATTAAGCTGTCTGGTCATATATGAGTCTATGCATGTCTATCTCAAATATGACATTCCAGGCAAAGCCCTGGTAATATAACCAATGTTTGTAATTGTATTCTAAGAACAGATTCTTAGTGAATTTATGCAAATAACAATATTGCCTGAAAATAAGAATATTCCCTCAATTCAGGTCAGTCACTCAGTTGTGTCTGACTCTTTGTGATCCCATGGACTGCAGCACTTCAGGCCTCCCTGTCCATCACCAACTCCCAGAGTTTACTCAAACTCATGTGCATTGAGTTGGTGATGCCATCAAACCATCTCATCCTCTGTTGTCCCCTTCTCCTTCCACCTTCAATCTTTCCCAGCATCAGGGTCTTTTCCAATGAGTCAGTTCTTCGCATCAGGTGGCCAAAGTATTGGAGTTTCAGCATCAGCACCAGTCCTTCCAATGAATATTCAGGACTGATTTCCTTTAGGATGGGCTGGTTTCATCTCCTTGCAGTCCAAGGAACTCTCAAGAGTCTTCTCCAACGCCACAGTTCAAAAGCATCAATTCTTCAGCATTCAGCTTTCTTTATAACCCAACTCTCACATCCATACATGACCACTGGAAAAACCATAGCCTTGGCTAGACAGACCTTTGTTGGCAAAGTAATGTCTCTGCTTTTTAATATGCTGTCTAGGTTGCTCATAGCTTTTCTTCCAAGGAGCAAGCAAGAGCTCCCATGTTCTAGGAGATTAGGTAGGGAGAAAAACATTTCAAACAAAAAGTGATAAAATTATAACCATATCCATCAGCTCATACTTAGACAATCTTCATGCCTGTTGCTGAGTGAGACACTCAGTTTACTGGAACAGCTGATGACATCATAAGAGAGATTTCAAACTGCAAAAGATGCTTAGATCCTGGCATCTAGAAGTCTTCTTGACTGGCGTTTCTTAGCACTAAGACAATAGGTTTATAATTTGCTCCAATCATTTATCTTTATTTTTCTTTTGTCTCCACAGAAATGTACTGCTTACACTTTATAAACCTAACTTTGGGAACCCATCTGCATCACTGTCTCATGAAATAAACTTAACTGCACTGACCTAGTGTCAAGACTAAAGGAACTGGCTCAATGAGACGGAACAATCTCTACCAACTCAGTTTCTGGACTGCGAAACTTTTCTTTTTTTGCCACACCACACAGCATGTGGGATCTTAGTTCCCAGACCTGGGAATGGACCTGTGCCCCCTGCAGTGGAAGCGCAGATCCTTAACCACTGGACTGCTAGGGAAGTCTTGGACTGTGAAACTTCTTAAAAGAGTCTTCAAGGGTGGGAATGTAGGGAGGCAAAACTTGCCACCCCAAAATGTCTCTTTAGCATGCAGACTATTTTGAACTGAAAATAGTCAAGGCCCAAAAAAGACACAGGAGGAAACTGACCTTTCCCTTAACTGCCTGAAGAATTTAGACAGAAGGCCTGTTACAGTAGCAGATCTGTCCCCAGAGATGTCTGCAAAGAATATGGGCTAAGTGTGATGGGGAGAGTCTTAGAGACTGGAGTCCATTCTAAGTCCCACTGACCCCGCATGGCCCAGCAAACATTTATTCACCAAACATTTGCTTTTCCATCTTATGTCAATTGCCTTCCTCCTCAAAAGCCCCAAACCCTCACCAGTAATATCCTCTATTGTTCTCAGCTGAAGATAGTGTTTAAGGTGAGATTTCAAACAGTTTGGTGAATTACTGTTTCTTTGTATCTCTCTATTTTATGTGTATTAAGCTTTGTTTGATTTTCTCCTGTTAATCTGTCTCATGTCAATTTAATTCTTAGAAGAACCTGAAAGGGTAGAGAAAATTTTCTGCATCTACACCACCACAAACTACTTACTATCTCTATAGATTTGTCTAATCTGAACATTTCATATAAATGGAACTGTACAATATGTGGTATTTTGTGCCTGGTTTCTTTCACTTAGCATGATGTTACCAAGGTCGATGCATCCTAGACCATGTACAATTACCACATTCCTTTTAATGACCAAATAATACTCATTGTGAAGAAATGACATATTCTGTAATCTACTCATCAGATGATGGGCATTGGAGTCGTTTCCACTTTGGGGCTACTGTTATCTTTTATTTATATTTATTTTAATTTTTAATTGGGATACAGTTCATATACAGTATATGTTTCAGTTATACAACAGAGTGATTCAACGATTTTTAAAGGTTATACTAGATTTACAGTTATTATACAGTATTAGCTATATTCCCTATGTTGTATAATATATCCTTATAATTATTTATTTTATACATAGTAGTTTGTGCCTCTTCATTCCCTACCCTTACCTTGCCCACCTCTCTTCTCTTCTCCCTAATGGTAACTACTAGTCTGTTCTCTATATCTGCAAGGTTTTTTCTTTCTTTTTTGTTCATTTCACTAGTTTGTTGTATTATTTAGATTCTACATATAAGTAATACCATACAGTATTTGTCTTTCTCCCTTTGATTTATTTCACTAAAGCACAATGCTTTCCAAGTCCACCTAAATTATTGCCAACAGCAAGATTTCATTCTTTTCATGGCTGAGTAGTATTCCATTGTGTACATAAAAGACATCTTCCTTATCCATTCATCTGTTGATGGGCATTTAGGTTATTTCCACATGTGGCAATGGTAAATAATGCTGCTATAAACATTAAAGTGCATGAACCTTTCTGCATTATTTTTTGGGATATATATATATATATCACATCTATATCTATATATATCCAAGTCTTTTAATTCCACCCTCCTAAACTTACCACTGCTCCAAAATCACTGCAGACGGTGACTGCAGTCATGAAATTAAAAGACACTTGCTCCTTGGAGGAAAAGCTATGACCAACCTAGACAGCATATTAAAAAGCAGAGACATTACTTTGCCAACAAAGGTCCATCTAGTCAAAGCTATGGTTTTTCCAGTAGTCATGTATGGATGTGAGAGTTGGACCAAAAAGAAAGCTGAGCGCCAAAGAATTGATGCTTTTGAACTGTGGTGTTGGAGAAGCCTCTTGAGAGTCCCTTGGACTGACAGGAAATCCAACCAGTCAATCGTAAAGGAGATCAGTCCTGAATGTTCATTGGAAGGACTGATGCTGAAGCTGAAACTCCAATACTTTGGCCACCTGATGCGAAGAGCTGACTCATTAGAAAAGATCCTGCTGCTGGGAAAGACTGAAGGCAGGAGGAGAAGGGGATGACAGAGGATGAGACGGTTTGATGGCATCATCAAGTCAATGGACATGAGTTCGAGTAAACTCTGGGAGTTGTTGATGGACAGGGAAGCCTGGAGTGCTGCAGTCCCTGGGGTCTCAAAGAGTCGGACACGATTGAGCAACTGAACTGAAACTTACCACATGAAACTGTTATGAGGTAGGAATTCAGCTCCTTCTGAAGTAGAGAGATATTTTTACTTACAAGTTCTGACATAAGTTTTCTGTTCTTGGTGCATCACCTGGTCTTTCCAACAGCCCATAAGATTCTCATAGAAGAGCACAATGGGTCAGATGTTCCACTCAGTAGACCTGGCTAGATTCAAACACCCTTGCTCCAGTCATGTCTGACTCTGAGACCCCATAGACTGTAGCCTGCCAGGCTCCTTTTCCCATTGGATTTTATAGGCAAGAATACTGGAGTGGGTTACCATTCCCTTCTCCAAGGTTTCTTCTCCACCTAAGAATCAAACCCACATTTCTTACATCTTCCGCATTGGCAGGCGGATTCTTTACCATTAGTGGCAACTGGGATAACCCTCAAACACCCTACCTGATAGTTAACAGGGGTTTGCCTTTGGGCGAGTTACTTAACCTCTCTGAGCTGCAAGTTGATCAATAACAAGATGGGGTTAATAACACTACTTCTAATTTACCATAAGGAGTCGGAAAGCATTTAGGACACTGTCATATCATAAACTCAACCCCTGGCCTCCTATCTCCCTATTTGTGGTGGGAAATGTCTTTGTTGCTCCCTGCAAATCCACATATGTGGATCATTTTCTTTAGTCACCCTCCACCCGCACCATCCCCACTATTCTTTCCTGGCTAGCTTCTCATTCTTCTGATCTCATTTTAAATGTCACTTCTTTGGAAGCATCTTCAGACACCTCATCAACTCCCTCTCCTTACTCCTTCCTAGAACAACCTGTGTTTTTCCTTCATTACTTTACCACAGTTTGTAACTTTCTATTTAGTTGACCTACTCTGTTTTTGTCCATCATCTGGGCACTCCACCAGGGACCTTGTGTCTCGCTCTCTTCAGCAGCCTCAGTACAAACGCGGTCTAGGTTCGCAGCACGCCTTCATCAAATATTTACAGATAACACTCTAATCCTTTCCTGAACTCAGGTTTAGAGAGGGAACTTATCCCTCCTCAAACCACACAGATTAGTGGCACACGTGACCCCCAAGTCTCCCTATTCCGATTCCAACCCAAGAGCCCTGATAAGAAGTTTAACCTGCCTCCTAATATATTCTGAGTGCCAAGGAAAGTTTCAGAACATGGAAGGAGTAAAGCAGCGTGCAGAATAGGAGAAAGTGATTTGACCTGGCCCTTCTCTGGATCTCAATGTAAGTTTATTGTAAACGGGAGGGATTACTACAATAACGACGTGACAGAACAACCACAAAGATGGAACCAGAGAAACGCCAGGCCGAAGCTTGCTCTTGAGACAGGAAGACACAGGAGACAGATGCTGCGCAGGCGCAGTCAAGCCACTCCACTCTCCCACCTCCTCCCCGCTTCTTGCCCCGCCCCTAGTCGCAGGGCGCCCAGCGCAGTCAGCTGACGCTGCGTCATGGAGGTCACGTGCCGGTGGGCGGGGCGACTGGCGCAAGCGCAGATCGTGCGCGTCTGGACCAGCTGACCCGAGGGGGAGATTCGGCCGAGTAGGCCGTCGTCTGCCGCCTCGTAGTCGCCTCCGCCGGCGCCGTCGCCGTCGCCATAGCCATGGCTAGTCAGTCGCAGGGCATCCAGCAGCTGCTCCAGGCGGAGAAACGGGCCGCCGAGAAGGTGTCCGAGGCCCGCAAGCGTGAGTTTGGGTTGAGGCAGCCCGGCGTGGCGCGAGTCCAGGGATTGCGGCCAGGCCGCGAGGGGTGGTAGGTAGATGAGGACCGAAAAACTGCGGAGTGGGCGGGGGAGGGGGATGGATACAGTCGGGGACGCTTGTGTGACTCGCTCTGAAAGTCTTGTAGGTCGCCTGAGAGCTGCGATGTAGGCTAGTAGATAGGGTGTGGAATCAGTAAGAGGTGGACGACCTTCTTAGGGTTTGGAAGTTGAATAAAATGGACTATCCAAACGGAAGTCGTTGTCTCCACCGTTTGCCGTGTTACCCAGTCTGAAAACAGTCCTCTTCGCCACGTCTCAGACCCTCCCTCATTCGCCATGTTTAGTCACTCGGCAAGGCTTTGTTTGTTCCCTTTTCTCCATCCCTGCATCCGGCATCTTAGTCCAGGACGCCAAGTTTTCTGAGACGGCGGTAACAGCCTAATTCGTTAATTCCTTAATACGTGCCAAACGCAGTACACGGTTCATTTGTGATCTCTTATTGCAGTTTTCAAAGCCCCAGTGAAGGAAGCAGCTATTGGGTAGATTAATTGCAGGTGAGAGGAGGGCTAGAGTTGAGAAATGAGAGGTTACTAAAGAACTTAATAGGAGGATCGAATCTAATTGTTGAGTGGGAGAGTTCCTCCTCTCCAATTCATTCTTCTCACTGTAGTCAAGAGTCTTTCATCTCAGTTGCCACTCTGATTTCCTCCTACAGTCCCCAACCTTTAGTGTCTGTAGAATAAAACCTAAATTCCTTAAGAGGGTGTAGGACGTGCTTTTGAATCAGGCTCTGGCTTTCTTCTCTAATCTCTTTTGGTGTTGCTCAAAGACAGGTTGGTTGATCCCACCTTCAGGCCTTTGCACAGTTGGTTCCTGATCGGAAAAGCCTTTTCCTAGTTGCCTCTCATTCTCAAACACATAGTCTTCCTTCAGATCTTAAAATTTAGGCAGTAGTTCTTCCAGGAAACTTGCCCTAACTTGTTCTTTACCCCTCAGACTAGGTTAGACCTCTCCCTAAGTGTCTGTTTCTGTCACCACAGTGCAATAACCTGTTTCTTTATATGGCTCACTTACTAGAATAAGCTCCTGGAGAACAGGAACTGTGTCTAATTAAACTTTATTTACTCAGTTTCCCATCTGGCGAGGTAGATGTTTCGATTCCTATTTTACCCATGGGAACGTTGGGACCCAGAGAAAAATGATATGACCATACCCTGGGAAACAACATAGCTGGGATAAAAATACCAAAAACTGGTAATCTCAGTATTCTCTTGATTTATTTCTTCTTTTTTTTTTTTAACCATAAGATTTACACTCTTCACCCATACTCAAGCCTGGCCCTGGTACTTTCTCATTTAGGGGTCATGTGATACTTTGTATTTCGTTAAAAGAGCTTTTTTTGAGGGGACTGGAGATAGGAAGAAATCTTCTATTCTGGCTCTGGTGACTGGAAAGCTCTGTGTTCCTCATGGAGTGTTCTCATCATGCCCTGGATGAGTATTTCCAGAATGACTTCTCAGAGTGTGTCTTCTAATGGATCATAAGCAGTAGAAGTTGTATCTGTTGGGAAGTGTGTGAGAATATTTGGGGAAAGTGCAGGACCAATTACTTGCCATCTGGTTAAGAATGATTGAGGGAGGGGGGATCGGGATGGGGAATACATGTAAATCCATGGCTGATTCATGGCAATGTATGACAGAAACCACTACAATATTGTAAAGTAATTAGCCTCCAACTAATAAAAATAAATGGAAAAAAAAAAAGAATGATTGAGTGCCTTGGAAGTAGGGGTCATGATTTACACCTTCCTTTTTCTTGTCAGACCTGGTGCAGGGACTTGCCTCTCTCTCGTAGCTATTACATAGTGATGGAAAGAATTTGTTTTAAAGGAGTGAATTTATGTCTAATACATATCTCAGGATTTGCAGTAGCTAGGAATAGAATTATTAAGACCTACAATTTAAAAAAGTTGTTGCCTTTCTTGATCTGTAATCGTGCTTGACGTACCCAGTTAGGAATTGGAAAGAGACAATACATGATGCAGTAAAATGGTCCAGCCCAATTTTTCGTGAAATCATTGTGTCATTGGAGTGAAAATGCTGGCCTCTAAATGGCAGGCCCTCAAAAAAACAAACAAAAAAAAACAAAAACAGACTTAAGTTATTTCCTGCTCAGATATTTTTTTGTTTTCTGAGAAGCCAATCAAAATTGAACTTCGAAGATGTTTGCTGACAGGCAGAGAATGGTTTTCTTTGATTGTGGTTTTCATTCTGTTTGCCCTCTAATGGATGAGGATAAGAGGCTTGTGCAAGCTTCCTGATGGGAGGGACTGGCTGTGGGGAAAACTGGATCTTCAACAGTTAGAACCTGACATAGAACACAGACTGGTTTAAAATTGAGAAAGAGATACAATGAATCTGTATACTGTCACTCTGCTTATTTAACTTACATGTGAGTACATCATGAGAAATGCTGGGCTGGATGAATCACAAGCTGGAATCAAGATTGCTGGGAGAAATATCAATAACCTCAGATAGGCAGATGACACCACCCTTATGGCCAAAAGCGAAGAGGAATTAAAGAGCCTCTCGATGAAGGTGAAAGAGGAGAGTGAAAAAGCTCACTTAAAACTCATCATTAAAAAAACTAAGATCATGGCTTCCAGACCCACCACTTCATGGCCAGTAGATGGGAAAACAATGGAAACAGTGACAGGCTTTTATTTTCTTGGGCTCCAAAATCACTGTGGACAGGGAATGCTTTCATGAAATTAAAAGACACTTGCTCCTTGGAAGAAAAGCAATGACAAACCTAGATAGCATATTAAAAAGCAGAGATTACTTTGTCTAGTCAAAGCTGTGGTTTTTCCAGTAGTCATGTATGGATGTGAGAGTTGGACCATAAAGAAGGCTGAACGCTGAAAAATTGATGCCTTTGAATTGTGGTGCTGGAGAAGACTCGAGAGTTCATTGGACAGCACGGAGATCAAACCAGTCAATCCTAAAGGAGATTAACCCTGTTACTCATTGGAAAGACTGATGCTGAATCTCCAATACTTGGGCCACCTGATGTGAAGAACTGACTCATTGGAAAAGACACTGATGCCAGGAAAGATTGAAGGCAGGAGGAGGAGGAGAGTACAGAGGATGAGATGGTGGATGGCATCACTGACCCAGTGAACACAAGTTTGTGCAAACCCCAGGAGATGGTGAAGGACAGGGAAGTCTGGTGTGCTGCAGTCCATGGACTTGCAAAGAGTCAGACAGGACTGAGTGCCTGAACAACAGTAGCAAGAGAATGGTTACCTTAAGTAATTAATTCGGGGAGCTGTGGGAGTTGGGGGTGATTGCAAGGGGTATTGTGAAAATGTGGAGCTACTGCGTAATACTCAGGCCAGATTAGAATCTGTTGCTTTAGGAAATAATCTTGGCTTTGTTGGCCTTGAATGTATAGCTGATGAGGGGAATGGCATGTGGAGTAATGGGGTAGAGGTGGGCTGGTTCAGTTCAGTTCAGTCGCTCAGTTGTGTCTGACTCTTTGTGATCCCATGAATCGCAGCACACCAGGCTTCCCTGTCCATCACAAACTTCCAGAGTTTACTCAAACTCATGCCCGTCGTCGGTGATGCCATTCAGCCATCTCATCCTCTGTTGTCCTCTTCTCCTCCTGCCCCCAATCCCTCCAAGCATCAGGGTCTTTTCCAACGAGTCAACTCTTTGAATGAGGTGGCCAAAGTATTGGAGTTTCAGCTTCAGCATCAGTCCTTCCAATGAACACCCAGGGCTGATCTCCTTCAGGATGACTGGTTGGATCTCCTTGCAGTCCAAGGAACTCTCAAGAGTCTTCTCCAACACCGCAGTTCAAGAGCATCAATTTTTCAGTGCTCAGCTTTCTTCACAGTCCCAACTCTCACACCCATACATGACCACTGGAAAAACCATAGCCTTGACTAGACAGACCTTTGTTGGCAAAGTAATGTCTCTGCTTTTTAAATAATATGCTATCTAGGTTGGTCATANCTCTTTCACTTTCATCAAGAGGCTTTTTAGTTCCTCTTCACTTTCTGCCATAAGGGTGGTGTCATCTGCATATCTGAGGTTATTGATATTTCTCCTGGCAATCTTGATTCCAACTTGTGCTTCTTCCTGCCCAGCATTTCTCATGATGTACTCTGCATATAAGTTAAATAAGCAGGGTGACAATATACAGCCTTGACGTACTCCTTTTCATATTTGGAACCAGTTTGTTGTTCCATGTCCAGTTCTAACTGTTGCTTCCTGACCTGCATACAAGTTTCTCAAGAGGCAGGTCAGGTGGTCTGGTATTCCCATCTGCTTTAGAGTTTTCCACAGTTTATTGTGATCCACACAGTCGAAGGCTTTGGCGTAATCAATAAAGCAGAAATAGATGTTTTTCTGGAACTCTTTTGCTTTTTTGATGATCCAGTGGATATTGGCAATTTGATCTCTGGTTCCTCTGCCTTTTCTAAAACCAGCTTGAACATCTGGAAGTTCTCGGAGGAGGTGGGCTGGAGCAGACCCTAAGTGGTGGGCCCTAAACAGTACTGGAGAAAATACATACCTGGAGAAATACTCCTTGAGGGGCTTAGACCTACCTTTTGGTTGTTTAGACTAGCCTCATTTAGTAGTAATGTCATGGGGTTATCACCAGTCTAAAATTTTGTTGTTAATTGTTGTTGTTTAGTCGCTAAGTGGTGGTTGACTCTTTGCAACCCCATGGACTGTAGACTGCTAGGCCCCTCTGTCCCTGGGATTTCCCAGGCAAGATCAGGAGGTGGAAGGTTAAATTCAGTTTCATTCATCTACATGGACTGTGTGGGATTTAGGCAGTTGATATGCAATGGATTATAACAGCTTTCTTTTATTTTTTAATTCTTTTAAAAATTTTAATTGGAGGATAATTGTTTTACAGTGTTGTGTTGGTTTCTGCTGTACAACAGCATGAATCAGCTCTAAGTGTACATACACTCCCTCTCTCTTAAGCTGCGCTCCTAACAGCTTGCTTTTAAGATGCAGAATGTCTTTCATTCTGAATTAAACAAGTGTTCAGATTGATTGCCTAGGATCTCCCCCCCCCCCCCCCCCCCCCCTGGCCACCCCCCAATTTGTGTATCTGAGAAGTTTGGACAGAGAAACTTAACTGATCTTGTGGTTCATTTTCTTAAAGACTCTGACAGAAGCTAGAGAACTTTTCCAGCTGTCTGTTAAAACTATGCTCTTCTAGAAACCAGAGCCTCTGTGTTTCTTCACTTAGATGTTTGTGCAATTTTATGTCCAGTGCTCCACATCTGAGAATTCCTTCTCAGAACCAGTTTCCCTGCTTATTTCCTTGTGCACAGGCATGGACACTAGTTTCCAATATTACATCATCTGTTTCATTAGTTACAGTTTAGGTTGATGTCCTTTGGGAGCATATTAGCCTCCTCGGTAAGCTTCTAAGCCAAGCTCCGATTGTAATCAGCAGCATACTTAGATGTTTACTTCTCATGGAGAGAATTCCCCAGATGGCTCATGTAGCCCATTTTATGTTGATTCTTAGTAGCTGAGGTTGAGAAAATACTCTGACACATTCCAAAGTTTCTTGCATCATTTTTACAGTCTGTTCGTATAGAAGGTGGTCCTTTTTTATCGATTCACTTCTCAGTGAAGTATAGTCTAGTCAGGTACAGGAGGCAGGAACCTGTACTGTTGGTTAGCTCTCAATTCCCTTTCTCCCTCTTCCCTATACGTGTCTCTTGAGACTGTATTTTTAAACTTTTGTCACTGTTTATGGTTAGAATTACCATCTCAGTCTCTGCTTCCTCTTATGCTCCTCTCTTAACCACTTCCTTTGAAAACAGGAAAGAACCGGAGGTTGAAGCAGGCCAAGGAAGAAGCCCAGGCTGAAATTGAACAGTACCGCCTGCAGAGGGAGAAGGAGTTCAAGGCCAAGGAAGCTGCGGTGGGTCCAGTTAATTTTCATTATTATTGCCTTAGTTTCCTGAGGCTTCCTTCCCCTCCTTTTCCCCTTAGGCTCCCAAAATATTCAGCATAGCTCAGCGATTCTGATTCTGGTAAAAATTTGAAAACTGCGTTATTGGATGCTTAGGCTGAATCCCTCAGGATGATTAGTTTTTAATATTTGAATTCTAGTCTTCACTCAAATAATGAAATTATTAATGTAATTAGATATTAAATATAGATGACTATGGAGATATATGTTATTTAATATATATTAAATGTAGATAATATTAAATATCTGTGGACAGTGAATGTGTGCCAGATGCAGAGGATCTGCTGTGAACAGAAATAGACATGGTCCTTAGCTTACAGTCTGGTGGTCAGGGACACTCAGTAATAAAATAGAAGTCACGCAAATGGGCAACTGAAGAGGACTGTGATGGACATAAACATGAATTTCATGGAGTTCTGCTTTAGTTTAGTATGGATAGTAACTGACCAGTGGAGGCTAGACCACGATGCAAGTGATGCGTATAATAATAGTACAAAAACAGATCACAGAAGGTACGGAGGAAGCAGGGGAAATTCTGGAAAAGGTAAAGAATGGTAGAGGCTTTGTAGAGAAAAGAACCTCCATCTGAACTTCTGGATACAAGATAATAGGAAACAGTTCAAGCTGGTTTAAGCAAAGTGGAATTTGTTGACCTACATGATTGGAAACACAGGTAATGACTGAGTTCATTTTGATCTATGAGCTTAAATAATGCTCCCAGGGCTACCTCCATCTCCCCTCTCTGCTTTTATGGGCTTCCTTCTCAAGTTCTACATTATGGACTACTAGATCCAGGTACACACCCTCCCAGGTCCAAGTCCAGCGATTAAAGGGTCATGCCTCTCTCTCAGTAGGTAGACAAAGTTTTGTTCATCTTTGCACTGGGCAGTGACTGCTATTTAAATTTAAAATGGGTCTGGGTCTCTGACTCATGAATTTGTGCTGTAAATTGTCAGACTGCCCACAAGACAGTGTAGAAATAGGGGCAGCCATCTTGTCCTGTTTTTGCATTGATGCTGCCATTGCTTATAGAGATGGTCTCTGTGTTACATTTGTAAGCATGAGCGCTGCAGTATTTTTCTAGCAGTATTCCATTGTAACTGCTTCACTTTTGAGACTTCTGGGGCTTGCCGTATAGTTTACATATTCATAGAATAGAGTAGTGAACTTCCACCCCCCCCACCCCCCATTGAGTAAGGATTATGGACTTTTAAAATATGGGTAAGCACCTGAGCCAACCATTATGAAATGCTCCAAGGTATTCCTATAATATGAACAGTGATAGTATGAAGAGCCCTAGGTTTGAATCTCTGCCTGTTCACTTGAACCTCTTTGAGTGAAGGAATATAATTCTAACATATGTAATGAGGCAACAGCAGCTTAGGTGTTAGAAAGGGTTGGGCACCAAAAAAAGGGATGCCTTAAAAACCTGATGGGTCACGGTCTGTTAAAGTAGGTGCAACAGTTAACAATGAGAAGACAGTAAATGAAAGTTTTATCTATCAGTCTGTGTGAAACTGTAAATGGAAACTGAAGAGGTAAGACATCTGTTCACCAAAATTTCAAGCAATAAAACAGCAACAGTGAGAGGATAGTTCCCCTCTCACCCAGACCTGTAGCCCTCCTCAGAGATAATCACTGTTAACAGTTTCTTGTGTATTCTTCTAGAATGTTTATATTTGAATGAACAGATGTCATGTGTTCGTAATACTTGTGAGTCCACTGCTGAAGTGCTAAAACATTAACTAGTCATAGTAAAACTGTATATTCCTCCTAAATTGCATCT